ATGTGTTCCGTTACTCCCCAACACTGTTTACAGCACATCGGTCACGTGGGATGTTTTACGTCATTTTAAAGATTTGACCAGCGAGGCACGCTGACACACATCAGGGTTTTCTTAATTTTACAGAGCAACATTGTAACACATCAAATATAGAATTTAAAGATGAATTTAGATTTATTCACATTTCTAAAAGTCGTTTGCCAGATTTATACATTCATCAGCCACTTTATTAGATACCTTGCTAATACCATTTGGACCCCCTTTGCTTTCTTAACTTCTCTAATTCTTTGTGCCAACAGAGTGCTGGAAACAAAGATCAGAGATTTTGGTTCGACGTTGCTGCAGATTTATTCAACTCCACGTCCATGATGCGAATCTCCCGTTTCCACCACAACCCAAACTTGCTCTAGTAGTTTGAAATGACTGTGGAAACCTTTCAAAGTGCAGTGCATTGCCACTGAAAGCAGTTTAAGATTAACTTTGTGCTCATTTGCATACATTGATTCCAACAACTGTTTATTTGAGTTATTGCTGCCAGCCTCAGTCATTCTCTGACGTCTCGTACTCGCGCTCACTGATATTTTCTCTTTTTCAAACATAGAGAAGGTCGTGTTGGGAAATCCCAGCAGTTCTGCAAACTCTGCAGTCACAGCCTGTCACTTTCACTGGAATCACCTCTTTCCCATTCTGGTGCCCAGTTTGAACTTGAACACAGTACTTGCATTATAAGACAGTGTGTAATTAGTGTACATGTGGATGTGAAGACATGTTTCCACCCATCCACTGGCTTCACTCACCTCCACCAGGTTGATCATGTGCAGGAGGAATTCATGAGCATCTTGTTGTCTGTTGGAGGAAAACTCTGGGTGTCCCCTGCTGACCAGAGCCTTCAACATTCGAGCAGAGATGCCCTTCTGCTGGTGCTGCAATTAAAATATATATACATATAAAAAGATGTCTCACATAGTCGTAAATACTCGGCCTTTTCAGAGGACCATATAACACAACAGCTGACCGAGAGTGGGAATTATGGATTTTGGAAGGAATGTGTGATGTCAGGCTAATCAACATGTTTGTCTAACGTGACAATAATATATGTGGAAAAATATGATGCTACAAAGTCACACAGATACTTCGAAAATCTCGCTGCTGTGGGGGCGCGGCCTGCGGTGCTGCTGCAGGGGTGATGGACACACCTGCACGCCATCTGCAATCACGCCTCGCCGGCTTAAAAATCTGACTGGGTCCTGGGTTGTCGATGTGAGTTGGGCTATGAGCTGCAGCTGACTGAGTGTGTGAACAGCAACCAAGTATGCTGAAAAGCATGTTAATGACAACGCCATCGGGTCTGCGGTGGGTTGCACTGGCATCGCCACCTTCTTTGTTAAAAAACTCGAACTTTAAGCTAGCTGTCACAACAAGAAATGCAGACGTCTGCATCACAAAGCTCAGGCAAAAAGCATCTTTTCCAATGCTCGCCATCACTGTTGATACTTGCAGCCTGGGACTAAAACTTTGTTGCTGCCATACATGTAAAAATGTGCTTCCACAAAGATGCAGCAAAAACATTTAACGCGGCTCCTTCACACATATCTACATTTACTTTAAGTGCGAAAAAGCATAAACCAGCAGTTACTATAAGATAAGCAGATGTTTAAATATGTTGCTGCCATCCAGTCTATATTTTTTCCCTGCAATCAAACAAAAGTCTTTAACACGTAAAACCACCGACCCCCATCAGGAGAACGTGTACCAGCATTAAGAAAACCATTTGATGAGACTGTGATTGTGCTGGGTCACACTGACATAATACAAGCTGAACACAGCCAACACAAGCTCTCCCCCCACATCTCCCCAGCTGTCAATATATGTCCAACCACGACTTCCCATCACAGGTGCAGCTCACAGCTCGGCCTGGTGGCTGGTGAAGCTTATGGAAGAAGCCCAGGGCTCACAGAAATAACCCTTTATGGCTGTAATTTTGTGGCAGATGTGTACTACGACTCCGAAAGGCAACAGTTTGACAAACAAACACGTAAATATTCATATAAATTAAACAGCAGCACACATGTAGCAGCATGAAGCTGTGATGTGAGGAACTAAAAGGCAAAACACAAAATGTTAACGGTTGAAGTCAAGCAGCTCAAGCTGCTGCCAACAGTTTGTAGACAAAATGAAAACAGCAGCAGGAGAAGAGAAGCTTTAAACATATATAAACTCAACTACACTCCTTTAAAAACAAACTCTGTTACGTTACTATGAAAAACCAAATGTTAAATCGAGCGGCTAAATCTAAATGTTAGCATTATCAGCGTGCTTCGTTGCTTATGGACCCAGTTTGGAAGCTGGACATACCCAGTTTAACACCTTGTATTCTTCTTTCATCACCTGTTCAATGAGCTCAGATTTCATGGGCGGTTTGGAGTACTGGCCTGAAAGCAGTCCATGTCCCAGTTTAGCCCTGCCACACAAAAACACACACATAAGCATAAAGTAGAGTCTTATTTTAGTCTTGCTGGGGTTATTTTTTAGATGGCACACCCTGAAGGAAGTGGGCACAAGGAAAAAGACACTACAAAACCTTCAGACAGGGCACAGGGCCAGCTCGTGATAATGCTGAGTTTAAACTAAAGCAGGCTGTAGTGTTTTGTTATTGGACTGGCTGTGGCGCCTCTTTCAAGCTCTTTGTGATTGTTTCTTGTCTTTAAATACGTCTGTGCAGCGGTACTCCAGAGAGACAATTAGGAGAAACACAGTCAGATTCATTTAGACTGTATACGACTTCATATTTATTAAAAGTGAAAAGGAGCAAGGAAGGGACCTCATCTGCTTCATGTTTGCCTGTCATATATACACTATTACACTGATGTTCTTATTAAGCAGGGAGGTCAGTTTTCCAGATCCAGGCGTGTTTTCATTTTTCCACTCTTGGATCAAAAGCAGACGTCCGATATTCAGTAATAACAGGCACACAGCTATAGCTGCAAGGACAGTAGCTCCACCCACCTGCTGTTCAAACCTTGTGTTTATGCAGAGCAGCCAATCAGACGGACGTTTGCTTCAAGAGGAGCTAAAACAGTTTGTGTCAGACGGCGCATGAGTCCATAAATGTGCGATAATCGGCGTAAGCCCGGCCCTGTGTTAGCCTTACAGCTTACAGGTCACCTTAGTGAGGCACGCAGCACCACAACTACTGCAAAGATCTGGAGGAGAGCCTCTTCAAATGATTACACGACCTTTAGCAACATGCTAATTTAATTAAATATTTGGTGGCAGAACCTCAGCTCCAGTCCCCGCCCCCGAATGCTTCATGTGTATCATGAAAGACTTTCCTGTTTGTCCTTCAGCACCTTGACCTTTATTCACACATAGCGTTAGTAAGTACCCGTTTACAACAAAATTGTCCTCAGAATAATCCAACAGCAGGAAATTTCATCCACACTTATCCTTAAACACCTTTACGAGAACGCCATGATACAAATAAACAGGTTTACTTTCCTATGACCCATTTCTCCCTGACCAGCTCTAACAGTGACAGATATAAACGTGTTTTTATCTGGCTGCGTGCCTCACAGCATGAAATACACCGCTGATATCGATCGCCTGCCTGGCTAAGACTTCCCATCCATCACACCCACAGCACCTGACTGGCCTCTTGCAACATACAAGTCAAACACATTTTATAACTAGCATCAAAATTCATTAGAAAACGACACATCATGTTAATTATGTTATAATTAACAGAATATTCCAGTCCTGAGCAGCTAGAAAATCACCTGTTTGTGCAGCTCCTCACTACATAACCTGCAGTCACTTACATTTGAGTCGCAAAGTCCTGGGTGGGGTCGAGCGGTGAGTAGTCAAATATCCTCTGAAGATTACCCACATACCTGGAGAGCAAAACACGAGTCACACTCTGACCTACAGAGGAGCACACGGGACGATGGACCCTCAGGAAAATCAACTGGAAAGTAACCGTTTTAACTATTGATCTAAATATTGTACTAAGATTATTTTTATGTCGACTGACATGAATAAATATTGGTAAATTATTTTGAGCAACAAATTTACACTTTAAACACTTGGACATGATAAAAAACAGATTTGATTGTTGATAAAAACTGAAAAAGTATTTCAGAGTCTTCTGTGGTAACAAGACCTCATTTTTAAACTGGCTCTAAAGGAAACCAGTACAGACTCAATAACATCTGACAGACGGGATATTACTCACATCCTTTGGAAGTCTGGGATGCTGAAGAGGACCTGCATGACCGTACTAAGGTAGCAGCTGCTTCCCAGATTTTTGACGCCTGTATAACCAGAGCCGTACACCTCCTTCAGCTTCATGCCCAACTCTTGGATCACCTCCCACTCGCTGACCCGCGGCCGGGGTTTGTTGTCTGTGTGCTGCCCGTTTTCTGTCTGAAGGGGGGAAAGGGGAGCTGTATTAAAAACAGAGTCTTCATCTGGTTCTCAAAGCTGGATTTGACTGGAAAGTCTATTATGGTTTTTAAATTCCACCCCACAGGAAAAACTCCTGGTTAGACCAAAAACAGCGTTGGCAGGTCAATCCCAATCAGTCCTACTCTTTTTATTCACGTACTAAACTAAAGATAAACTTCTTTTAATTGTGGATTGTTTTGATTGAAATATCCCCAAAAACCCCAGACTGATGTTTTTGGGACTGTTGGCACGATTTAAATTCAGTGTTCATCATGTTTATTGGAGCACCTGACAAACAAACAAGGAAACATAAATATTTGCAGCTCTTTCAAACACTTCAAATCAATCAAGCATAATATTATAATATTCAACCACTGCAGGAATGCAAGTCAATGTGTAATTTGGCACTTTAATCAAAAATAATAGTGTGCTTCACTCATACAGATTAATCTGGGATTAGGGCCACTGCAGACCTCTTCCACAGTATTAACCATCACAGAAACACCAATTAACACGTTTGAATAGCAGTGATTTAGGGCAGTTGTGTCATAAACCTCTCAGTGAATCTAACAGCGCTACATCTCTTTAGTTTTCTTTATTTCACGTAAAAAAAATGTAACAAATGTTTGTAAAGCTCCAGTGAAAATGTTCAGTGTGTAGCTGCAGCAGTGAAGCGTGCTGTGCATTGGTTATTGATTTGATAATTGACTGATTATTACTGATTTCTTTGATGTGTTTCAGATGTTTTAGGCTCAAAGCAGCTAACTTACTCGTTTCTGCATCTGTAGCATGTCTATTCCAAAATGTGACAGGTGCTCCGATACGTGCGGGTCCAACACAGCTTCTTCTTCCTCAAACGAATAGATGTCTGAAAGTTAAAGAGCAGTTAATCACTGGTAACTTACTCGCTTTAGAAATGAACTACAGATGGATGAGATCCTGCTTTATATAAGAGTCACTGTGTGAGCTTCAGGAACAAAACTTTGGACAGTCGGTCGGTGAAATTATTATTATAGCTACACGATGCTACACATTATGTCAAACTTTTAAAAACAAAGCGAGTTTAACTACATATTGTGTTTTAAACACTACCATAAATTTGATCTAAACTACAAGTTTTCTGTAGTTTTCTTTGCATTAAAGATCAAAACAAACTTAGAGGAAGGATCACTGACAACATGAAATAAATGAAATTCTGGATTCGTGGAACAGCTCTCGTGATGAAGAGTCCCAGACCTGCTCCATCGGGGGTGATGGTGTCCAGCTTGACAGCTAGAGGGTAGTTGGTCTCTCTGTAGTGCTCCAGCGCATGGCCGTTACCACCGCTGCCATCAAAGAACCACTTCCCACAGAGCACTGCTCCGTCTGTCAGGTTCAGCCACAGGTTCTCTCTCATCTCACACTTCTGACACTTCCAGCCACTGCAGACAACAAAACACAGACTCGTGTTGTTGATGTGCCGTTTTTAATCACTCGGTCGTGCCGAGCCTCACTTTTGACTGCAAAATGTCTGAAGCTTCATCCAGGTCACGGCAGGAGCTCGGATGGAGAAGCGTCTGGACTTCTTTACGCTGCTTCAAGACGTTTCACCTCTCACCTGAGTCCTAAGGTCAAATCAGTCAATCTGGGACTCTCCACCATTTGACCCCAGAATGAAGAAGCTTCTCGGATGAAGGTGAAACATCTTCAAGCAGCTTTTCCATCCGAGCCCCTTTTACTGCAACGTTGCATTTTCCTCAACAACAGGGGTGAAAGTCGTCGGATTTACAGGTTCTCTCCTGTTCGTTATCAAAGCAGCAGAAACAAAGACTACAAATACAACTTTCCTCATATAGAGTCATTAAAAACAGACGTTTACATCCATGCTTATTCAGACACGTATGATAAAGTACGCAGCAAAGCCTTTAATAGGTGCAAACCAAAGATTACTCTGATCCATGAAGTGTCTGCCAAACGTGAAATATGGTTCACATTTTGTTTTGGCTTCACTAACGAGGTTGTGTTTGTGTGTGCCATCAGTCTGTTTGCAAACACAATAACCTGAACAAACTTCAGACGTCTTCAAACTCAACGTAACGGCTTCGTGGTCAAAAACGGACAAAAACCCATCTCATAACTTTGAAACCAGAATTCTGTGGTGTCGTGATTATTGTTGACATACAGAAAGTACACGTCCAATTTGACCTCTGACCTCTTCAAAGTCAGTGATAATGGTGCTACGTAGAGCTGTTGTTGTTGTTATTTGTACTGACAGCACACAGGGAATAACACAGACGTCACTCCGACCTGGGTGGGATCCTGACCCCGTTATCCAGCTGTCTGAGGCTTCTGGCATGCCGCGACACCTGGATCTCCTCCTCCCAGGACTCAGGCTCCTGCTTCTTGTAAGCTGATGGTGCATTGAGTACTGCATCACAGGCGATGGTCACCTGGACGTCACCAGAGTCAGCGGTCAGTATTTTATTTCAGCAATTATTTTCTTACAACTGAACAGAAAAGCTCAGAACCACAGGAAAGAGGTCATGCAAGATTTGTGCTTAAAAAGAAAGTGTGCCACGTCACATGACTGAGTCAACACCGAAAGAATTAAGACAAATCCAGCAGCAAAACACACCTGCTCTTTTATTACACTGTACAATCAAATATTTTCCACCGCGGCAATCGCACATGCATTAAATAACAGACGTCGAGGTCGTGCCAAAGCCAAGCTCTAAAAGCCAAACTAACGAATAAATGTGTGGAAAGTCTCTTCTGTGCTCCATGCAAGCAATAAACACAGAAAACAACACATACAGCTGCACCGCATGGTTCCCCGAAATGTCTGCAAAGGTGCAAAAAACAAAGGTGCATCTCACAGGTCACCCACCAATCCTCTATCATGAAGTTCGTTTTTGAATTTTCAGATGTTTTTGAACCTTGAATGTAAAATATATGGATTGAGACCAAACGGCCACTCAGGGAACCATCAGCGTGCACTGCAACGGTAACACCGACTCACTGACCAGAGCGGGCAACTCCTCAATATTTGGTAAGGGGATCTCGAAGTGGTCTGGAAAAATGACGAGCTTGGCCTCATCCTCGTATTCATAGTCCTCCCCGTTAAAATCACGGTTCAGCTCTAAATCTTTCAGGGAGGAAGCAAACAGTCAGCTGACTAAAGACACCGCTGAGTTTGTTCTGAAATATCTTTACTTGATGTTCTGCTTGAATTTGAGATGATGATTTGTTCCTTTAGTCAGTAGTGGATGTCTAAGGAGAGGGCTGTGATCACCCTCCATACACAGCATTTGTTTTCCACCGCAGCCTAAACGTGCAGAATGACTCAGTGGGAAACAGGATCATAGGTTAACCCTGACAATGCTGTTATGCCTACTGAATGCATGCGACGTCAGCGCCTTAATTAGATCACTGGACCAACGTGGGATTATGGCGGATACGTACATAACCGCTGTCACATCAAGATCTTAAAAGGATAACAGGAAGAACTGCTCCAAAGAAGGAGTCCTCAGGAAGAGGCAGGTAACGGCTGATCGAATCTGCCCTTCATGGAGTGGAAGGAATTCCTCCGTCAGGAGGCACCTGGTCCTCTGGGCGCAGCGTCATAGCTGCAGTAGAAGCGTGTCAGCAGCCAGACGGGAGGCTGACAGGTGGTGGCAGCTGAGAGGCCGGCGACTCTCTGCACCCCCAAAGAGGCGGAGGTGAAGGGGAGCGGGCCAGGATTTGATTTAGAACAGTTACCAACCACATTTACAAATAAATGAGCTATATTTAGAGAACAAGATGAAGCAGAGGAAGAAGAGGAGGGGACACATCATGAGGAATATCTGACGCTTTGGGTAAAGGAGGGTCGCGACAGAGGAGGAGCCTCTTTGCAGAAAGAGATGCGTGACCACATTAACATTAAACCACTAAAACAGTGAATTACTTCTGGAGCTGCACTGTTGCAAACACCAATCAACGAGATTCACTGTTCAGGTATGATTTAGTGCTTTAACCCTCTGCTGGAGGATAAACAGCTCAGTGCTCATTTTCCTGTTCTCATGCTACAAAATCCGTAAACGTCGTTACTCTGGTTCATTTAAGTTCTGACGACAGGTCTCGTGCTGAGGAGCCTTTAGTGAGTTTCTTGTAGCAGTGAAGTAAAAACCTGAATGCTGTTACTTATATCCATAAGGCTGTGAACTTGCACCACTGCCTCGGTCTTACCTAGAAACACTTTTCCATTTCTTCTTCTGGGGATGGCGCCGCCTCCAGCAGCTCCTGTGGCTTTCTGTAGGAAACATCACATTTAAACACCTTTCTGCCCCCTGCACCGACATCCAGAATTACTAAAAAACACATTTTTAAAGCCCATCCAGATAGTTGTCATTTTGTTGGGAACAGATGCTGGGCGTTCCAGGTGCCGGGTCAGTTTACAAGGCCAGCGGAAAACCCCGACCATGGCAGGGTCAACATACAGGATGATTAATGCTTCAGTGCTCAGATACTGTTTACAGTCGGTGTAACATCATGTCTTTGCCTGTGCTGTGTGTGTCATGGTCTTTTTCTGCCTCTGCTGCAATTCTCTCGTCTCTTCATTGAATGTCAAGTGCGATCAAAAAGGCAGCATGAACACAAAAACAATAGCAACATTAACATGTTTTAGCTTTGACACACAGTCATTGAACGGCTGAACCGTGAATCTGCAGAATCATCAGTTGGCAGCACAACTCCACAGCGCCACCAACTGGTTTCCTTTCAGTTTGATCAGGTTGGCCTGAACGAGTCTGAACGGGGCAGAAAGACGGAGAATGCTGACACACTTGAGACCGAGTGGGCCCATGGGAAAAAGCCCAGCAGACACAGGAGCCTGCAGAATGTGAGCAGCTGGTTGTGGACACATCCAGGCATTGAAATAGCAGTTCTCTACAAAGCAGAGCAGAAGCCAGTTAGAGGCAGCAGCTCTGATCTTTGTTGGTCACCATCCAGTTTTCAAAGAAAGACGAAAGTGAAGTTTTGGTTCAGATGTGATACAAAGACGGTTCTCTTAAATTACTCAGCAGCTCTCTGGCTCAGGCTCAACAAAAGCGTAACGTTACCGTCTTTATAAATATCATTAATTGTAATAATAAATTCTGTTGTGATATAAATGGGTTCAGTCGTTTTTGTAATGCTCGTCATGCTCATCTTATTGTTGCTCTCCAATTGGAAAATTGTTTTTACTCGTGTTTTACTGAAGCACATCTCACTGGTCCAACCTTAAAAACATCACAGCTTGATGAACTGTGGGTTTTAACAGCGTGTTCAGCAAACTAAGAAAAATACATTTTAATCTCTTTATTACAAGTGGTCCATTAAAGAAATCCTCAACTTTCCACATAATCAGTAGCAAATTACTAGGGGTGGGGAAAAATGGATACTGTGTAGCATGGTGATA